AATATAGGTACTAGGTAATGAACATTTTTTTAGACTCTCAAGAGGCAGGTTTTTAAGTTATAGTCCATGAAGGTAATAGGACAACATTACTCACTTTAAGCTTCTCTATATGCTTTAATATTTGCAGCTGACATAGTAGACAGAGCAACCACTTCTGCTGCCAAAAGTGAAAATGAAACTCCAAAGGAAAGCAGCAGTAGCAACACTCTTGGCAGTGAGAGGTCATCAGTTCCCTTTTTCAGGACAGAAATGATTCATCCCATTACTCACACCCAAATGTCTATCATCCTCTACAAGCAAAGCATTTCAGGCACTACATTTTTTTTTTTTTTTTTTTTTTTTCTATGCAGGTAGTATTATATACACCATGAAAAAATGTACCTGTGCCTTATCATTCCCATCAGGCTACAAATGTTTAGGCCAAGCACCAAGCAAGATGCATCTTTCCATTAAGTGTCTCCCATGCTTCAGAGCCAGGACCTACAGCAGTGAGTCAGTGCAAGCAGGTGACTCATTGCCCTGGTCTCATTTCTGGGAAAAGTGGTGAGAGGAGCACTCTTAAACAGGAGGGTACCTCTCCTTCTCTAGAAAAGGGGTTGGGGTGGGCAGGAGCAGGTCTTTGTCACCACAGGTGATAGAATCATTTAGGCTGGAAAATTGAGCCCAAGGTATGCCTGATACCCACTTTGCCACCCATCCCAGAGCACTGAGTGCCACATCCAGTCATTCCCTGGGCACTTCCAGAGACAGGGAATCCAAAACTGCATGAGCAGCTCCTTCCAATGCTTAACAACCTTTTCCATGAAGAAATCCCTGTTGTGTCTAGCCTGAACCTTCCCTGGCACAGCTTGAGGCCATTCCCTCTTGTCCTGTTCCTTGTTCCCTGGGAGCAGACCCCAACTTCCTCTGGCTGCACCCTCCTGTCAGGGAGTTGTGCAGAGCCAAAAAGGTCCCCCCTGAGCCTCCTTTTCTCCAGGTTGAGTGCCCCAGCTCCTTCAGCCACTCCTCACAGGATTTGCTCTCAAACCCTTCAATGCAGCCTCGCTCCCAGTTTCTCCTCTTTCCCTGAGACCACCAGGATGCACTCAGTGCCAGGAAAGCTCTCTGTCAGGCATATTCCTAGCTCCCATTTTCCCCAGGGGTCCCATCACCTCTGCTGCACAGCAGCTGTGCCAAGGGCCTGCCCTGCAAGGTGGCACTCTGGACAGTCTTGGGGGAAAAAAAAATAAGTTAAGAAAAGAAAATCTGCACCTAAGACAGAAGTTTTAAGACAGCCACACTAAAAGGGAAGTTGCACTAGTCTCAGTCTTGAGCTGAATCTGAATGAGCACTCCAGACTTATCACAGTGCATAATAAGAATAAACACACTGTGACCTGCCTGCACTCAGGTCTCCATGGAGGTAAAGCCAGACCTGCCAACACTCGGCTCAAGCCAAACCCAGACTGCCCAGAGCACTGAAAAATACACACCCTCCACAACATGGATACAGCTTCCTGACCCACTTGGTTTCCCAGAGACAGCCTTCCAGCCCTAACAAGGCAGTGCAAAGAAAAAGTAACTGTATGTGGGTAAAAATCTTCTAAGAACTCTTAATATGTGAAACACGTGGGTAAAAATACTCTGCCTTACCAAATGGACAAGAGCATTAACTCCTGTATCTTTAACAGCACTGACAGGAAGGTAATTGCTGGCAATTATAATCAACTCAGGATGATTTGAACTCAGTATCTTTGAAGTATGAAGCTGACATTTCATTCATTATGTGATACTTAAGTTAACATCCATAGCAATTTAAAAAAAAAGTAATTCTGGCTACCTGAGAGCTCATTAAATACCCAAGTGAAAAAAAAACCAAAAACAAACCTTCAAAATAGAGGTTAGAGTTCACATTACTCAGATTTCTTAACTCATGCTGTATTTTGCAACCACAGGTATGAAATACAAAAGAAAATAAAGAGTGAGAGGAGTCCAGTCCTAGGAAGAAATACCCACAGACTCCATTGAAGGTCTGCTGAGTTCTCCAGGCACAGCCATCTCTTCCTGCCTCTACCAGAACTGAAGCCATAGCTCATTACTGTTACCCTTGCTCTCAAAAAAGGAGTATGCAGGAGTTTATCACAACCTGACAGAACAAAGCTCTCAATCATCACCTCATACTTTCAACTGCCTTTTTTCCAAGCTCCCTGAGGTACCACACCTATTTTAGAGCTGTGTCCTAAATAGGTGAAACAATGTGGAAGTTTGGCTGAGGTCACACAGCAACATGTGGCAAAACACAATCCAGCAATCCAGGTCCCTCTTGGTGGGGTTACTGTCACCAAATTTCTGAACCAGAAAGTTTATATGATCACATCATGGGATCACCACAAAGCACAGATTTCTTGTACTTATTATCCTTCTTAAATTCACTGTTTGAACTGACAGAGAATGACATCTTGGGGTTGAAAAAACAAAAGTTCTAAGCAGATCCTTAGCAGAGACAACTCTTACTACCCCAGGTTGCTCAGAGCCCCATCCAGCCCAGCCTTGGACTTTTCCAGGGATCCAGGGGCAGCCACAGCTTCTCTGGGTAACCTGTGTCAGGGCCTTGGCACCCTCACAGGGAATAATTTCTTCCTCATATCCCATCTGAACCTCCCCTTTGTCAGTGTGAAGTCATTCCCCCTTGTCCTGTCACTATACGGTTTTACAAAAGAAGTGGTTCGATCTTTCCAGATACAACTCTGGTTGAGCCTTAAAATGCTCTAACACATGTGAGACAGCACTGACATTTTGACAAATACACTCCATTTATCTTTGAGGAAAAATACTCAACTGGAATTAAAAAAAAAAAAAAATCCTAATTCTGCATTTGTTTAATTTTAAAAAGAGACAGCTGTACTTCTTGTTCAGTGAAGTGCCACTCATATTCTCCAGCCAGAAGCACCAAAATCCACAGCACTATTTAAAGCAAGTCTGCCAATTCAATTATTTGCCACAGAAAATTGCAGGGAGGAGGGCAGAAGGTCTCTTCTCATAAGAAATTCAAGCTTCCTGTTTCTAGACTGAAATATTCTCTTTCTAGGAAACAAACATATCATTCTGAGTAGAGGAGATGTGTTCTAGGCTCCAGGGGTAAAAGAAATCACAACAAATGCAATAAAAATCGTCATGGAGCTGGAAGTGGGAAAGCAGCACTTCTGAAGGAACAGGACAAGTGTACTTGTGACTGCACTATTTGTCACCACATTTCTTTGGTGACTTTTTATTTTTCATGTTTGAATGGAAAACAACCAGTAAAAGCCAATTTAAAGAAAAAGACAATCTGTAGTTAAACTACATTTGCCTAAACCATCAGCTAAAATGATTAGCTCACTTTGTTTTAGGATACATCTGCTTTTCCCTTCACTATTAAAATGACTTTTTGAAAGGTGCCACTATGCTCACCCACATTCAAAACAGACTTTGTCTGCACTCATCAATCATCTCATCACACACAAAGTTTAAAAGTATCAACAACTCTCTTTTTACTTTTTTTCACTTGTCCAAATTATGAAGAGGAATCAAAATGACTAAACAATGTTTCTATGAAGCCATTTAGGTTTTTACAGAACGCACAGAAAACTTAGTGGAGAATGCACTGTCAAATGCACATTATCAAAAGAGACAAGGATGATTCTTGGAAAGACTCATTTCTCCTGGCAAAAATATTTTTAAAAAAAAGACTCATGCTTCTCTATTTAAACTGTGTGCTGAAGTGTATTTTTGTTTTGGGGAGGGCTTTGTTTCTCATGATGAAACAATCACTTCTCTTATTTGTATTAAAAAGCCAAGTGTTCTTTGTCCCTTGCAAACAGCTTGAGTTAAAAAGAATATAAAGCAGACCTAGATAAAACTCATAAAAGGTAGTATCGAGTGTTCTTCAAGATCCCAGTGAGAGATGATTTCACTCTCTGGAAACTTGTAACTGAATAGTTTTATGTCTGTCTTGAACAGCATTCCAGTGACCCACCCTCCAGCTAAGGCAATTCCAACTCCTTCTAAGTACAGATACAGACAATTTTAGTATCCCAAGTTATAACCAACCAGTATATTATTCTCTCTTGCATTCAATAAATTACATACATATTTTTTTAAATAAGCTTTGTTGGGGCACCAAAGGACACAATACTCCTTTTTTTTTTTCCCCCTTTTTTGTTTTAAAGGTGAGAGGGCATTTGAGACTGATATTTAACTTCAATCCAAACAAATTTAAAAAAAAAAAAAAATGAAAAAACCCCACAACCAACCAAAAAAAACCCCTATAATTCTTCCTTTGGGTAGTCATTTCCTGTTCTGCAGTGATCAAGAGATGGGCAGCAGGGGAAAGGGAAGAAACTCACAGTTCAAGAACAGGTAACACAAATGTTATTTATCAGGAGTACAGCCCCAAAGAGACTTTCTACTGGAAGAGCTTCAGTTTCTAAGGAATCAAGGAGCATTAGATGGACAAGTTAAGTGACAGAATGCTATGGCCAAAGGATTAGACACTAAATATCGGACAGAACCTCTTACAAAGGCTCTATAGCCCAGCAGAACTTGTTTTTCTTTAATGCTAAAATAACCCTAGAACATAAGAAAAAATAAAATACCCCAAGAAACTTGTGTATCCTGAAGTTGTTACTGAATTTTCATGACAAGGGGGAAGAGTTGGTAAGTGCAGAGATGGAAACCTTTTTGTTGCTTTTATCACAGCAGGAGATCAAGAGACAGGGCCCTGCATTTGATCAAGTGACAGCAAAAGGCACTTTTTGAAGTACAAGAAATTCTGTGTATGGACAACACACTGACTGCCAGGGTGAGTGAGCACTGCTACAGCCAGATCTCCACACTTGTGCACATTCAGAACCCAACTGCCCCCATCCTGAGCAACCTGTTCTGCCTGGCCCTGCTTTGAGCAGCAGAGTTAGATACTGCCAAAATGTGTCTTCTAACCACAGCTCTGTACTAATTTTGATTTTTCCTATACTTGAAATACAGGACAAAGCTTTATTTTTCACATGGCTAGAATAGAGGCAGCTTCATTTGTCCATGAGAAGCTTCTTAACTCTGGATATCTTAATCCAGGTATCTTTGGTTTGTGCTTTCCTGCATAAGTGGCTATAAAATAAGCCAGTTTGCAGATATTCCAGACTCTGCACTTGAAGAAAATAATATATTTCTTGCAATTCACATTTCAGGCTCAGTGAAGAAGACTGTGTTGTATGCTTTAAGTCAAGGACCTAGTAATAACTGTAAGGCACAATAAAACAAAATGAGCATCTCACAAACTTTACAGACAGACAAAATAATCCTGAGTGCAGCCAAGTTATGTGACCGCTGCAGGAGCCAGACTGCAAAGTGGAAAATCCCATCAGAGCCAAGTGAGGAGGAAGCCAACTAAGACTGGCTACTTTCCACCACCAAATGTCAGGTGAGAGCTAGAGGGATCCATTTTCATAGAATCACATTCAAATTTGAGTGACAATTACTCCTGGTAAGCTGGGACCTAAAGACAAACCACAGGGGCAGCCAGATGGCTCTGTCCTGATGAATGGCCTGACAGGAGGGCTGGGAAAGCCCTCCCTGCCAAAGACATACAGGTGTAATTTATATGGTGCTTGAGACTGTCCTAGCTGGCCCAGTGAGAGGGGAATTGTTCTGGGGGTTTTCTAGAGAGGGTATTTGTCTTGGGAAGGAATTTCCAAAGGATTATCTTGATTTGGCTGTGGTTGCAGCTAAAATTTATCTCAGCATGGAAGCAGAGTCGCCTGTCCCAGACAAACTGGTGACGTGTTACAGAAAAGGAAGTCGGCAGAGCTGACAAAACCTGTGTGTTTCCAGCACTGAGGGAGTCTTTACAGAGTTCAGGCTAACAACTGAGGGTACAGAAGAAAACCCAAGGAGAAATTACACAGGAAAACATTAAATTACTGTCTAGAACTGTGAGTCTGACATTTCTGTGGGAGAAGGCAAAGGAAACAGAATGAAAGGGATGTTGAAAGCAAAGTGAAGAACAAAAGTATCAAAACTGCTTTATTATTTCTAAACATGTATCACTTAATCATGACTAGAAAATGATCATGCTAGCAGAATTGTTTCCCAAAAAAACTGCAGGCAGAAAATGAGATATGGAAGCAACTGATGAACCAATTACCATTAAACAAAAAGCTTCAACTAAACCAGTAAAGAAACATTTAATAGTTTAACATCAACTACAAGATTTGAGAGAAAAACTGACTTTCTACAATTTTTAAATGAAGCTTTTAAAGGTATTTGGTGCATATAGCTAAGCACATGCCAGCATTTTGTTCAATCCTCTTAAAGTATAAAATAAATAAGTGCCAGTCTTTCATTCCATTAGATGTACGTAGATGGAAATTATGTTTAGAAGTTTAACATTTAAATAAATAATCATCCATTTCAGAGAAATTGATTTTGTGCTTACAGGGAGAATACCTTGTTGACATTCATAGGCCTAACTTGCTTTTTATTGAGAAAATTATTATTTTCAAATAGTCAGACTGCTAATACAATTTGCAAAACTGCTGGCATACTAAAAAATGCAGAAGCTTGCCTTTAAACTATTAACTTTAGGTAAAACATAGGTTTTACCTACAATTAATAGTATGTATTTACCTAAATTTAAATAATATGTAAAGCCAATTATAACATTTTAGTGAAGAATAAGTATCAGCATAAGAAATACTGACAGGATGAGGTTGAAGTTTATTCAGGATGCTCTTAATCACTGAGAAATATCTGACAAGACTTTCCTGTGTTGAAGCCTGAAAGATTTTATTTTTCTCTTCTGAACTTTTCAGCAAAGGGCTAACAGCATGGAGACTTCCAAGTTACACTTTCATGAGCAGCAAGTTATGTGGCATGCAGTAGTCAGAGGAGACCCTGAAGGATCTATTTCATTGATCTATACTACTCCAAATACAGTTAAAGATACTTATAATGGGTATAATTTCAATGAACATCATTAGCTAACCATTATATTGCACTCCTTTTATATTTTCTTTGGTACTCAGAATATTGACAGTTTAGCACCTTCCTTAGTCCAGGCTGTATTTACAACAACCAATGGCAGCATAATTAACATTACTTAGAGAATAAATTTTTACTGAAGGAAAGGTTATATATTTCAAAATGTTTCTTTTCTGTCTTTTCAGTCTCTCTCTGGCAGGTGAAAAATCCAAGACTACAAGTTTACACTGCAAGATCATCCCACTGTGCATTTTCTGCTCTGCTGGTACCCAGTGCTCCCCCACCTCCCCTGGGTTTAGCTTCACAAAAAAAGCTTCACCCCACTTCCCATCTTGCAGTACTCACCAATAGCCTGAGCAAGGGCTATTACAACTTCCTGGCATGTTGTGACTTCGGTGACCCCACACACGATTCTCTGCACTCCATCCACCCATACTTTGAGCTCCATGGTTCACCAGATCATCCAAGAGCCATGAATGCAAATCAGTCAAGTCATTCTTGCAGCTGCACCAGACACAATGCAGGTGACTTCCCGCAGCAGCTGGAACAGAGAAAAAGCCTGGTGTTCAGAGCAAGGAATCAGCAATTTGAAAAGTTGACAATTTCTCTTTGACATCTATCAGGTAGGAGAGCCAACACAGCCTCCTTTCTTTAAAAACAACAGGAACCATACAACCACACGTTTTAAGGGCAGGGTGGCTGGAAAGTTCCCAGCAGGAAAGGATGTGGGGTGCTGGTGAACAGCAGCTGCACATGAGCCAGCTGTGCCTAGGCAGGCAAGAAGGCCAGTGGCGCCTGGGCTGGGTCAGCAATGGTGTGGCCAGCAGGACCAAAGCAGTGACTGTCCACCTGTCATGGGCACTGGTGAGGCCACACCTCAAATCTGTGTCCAGCTGTGGGCCTGTCACTGCAAGATGGACATTGAGGGGCTGGAGCCTGTCCGTGGAAGGGAACAGAGCTGGACAAGGGGCTGGAGCACAAGTCTGATGAGGAGCAGCTGAGGGAGCTGAGAAAGGAGCTCAGCCTGGAGAAAAGGAGGCTCGGAGGGAACATTCTGGCTTTCCACAGCTGCCTGGCAGGAGGGAGAGCCAGGGGCAGGTTGGGCTCTGCTTACAGGGAACTGCCTCCAGCTGTGCCAGGGAAGGCTCAGGTTGGATATCCAGAAGAATTTCATTATGAAAGGTTTGTCAAGTATTGAAAGGGGCTGCCCAGAGAGGTCTGGAGTCCCCATCCCTGGAAGTGTCCAGGGAATGACTGGACGTGGCACTCAGTGCTCTGGGCTGGGTGACAAGGTAGGGATCAGGCACAGGTTAGACTTGGTGTTCATGTCCAACCTCAATAATTCTATGATTCCATTCTAGGATCCCATGCTTTAACCATGTCTATCTCTTGTGCAGACTTACCCAAAGTTTCATTACAGTTTATTTCCTAAAATTTTATGAGTTGTTACAAAAAGAGCACCCAGAGAAATAGCACTAAATAAACAACTCCAGAATAAACTCATAACAGTTTCCAGTAACAGGTGCCCCTATTCCTTTATATGCTGTCTGAATGTTTCCAGGGACTAGTAAGGATGCTTTAAGTGTTTGTTCAATAATTTCTAGCAGATGGAGCTATAGAAAAACAAGGGAGAAACATTTTTAATTACAGCCATCCATGAGAGTCCAACTTTTGTCTCTCAGCAGAAGCAGCTGAAGGTTCCTATTCCCAACAAACCCATGCATTTTGTACCAGAACCCAGAAAGCAAAGTGAGCAGACAGCTTGCTTCTCTCTCCCTCTAAAACAAGGAGATGCATCAGGGGAAATGTTGTAGAGGTGGTTTAACCCTTGCCAGCACTGTGCTGGTTCTGTGAGAAACCAGATCTTGTCTAATGTATTTTCCTAGGTTTTTCCATAGGCACTGCGATGATACCAAGCAAAAAAACCTCATAGTAAACCAAACAAAAATCGTTGTCTTCAAAAGACAGAACATTCCCTCAAAAATGAAACACAAACCAAACCACCAATAATGATGATTAAGCTGTAAAAAAAACCCCAGAAACTAACAAGAAAGCAAACACCCAAAAACCACCTACAAACCAACCAACAACAAGAAACCAAAATCAAATAAAGAAAGCCTAATGAAACAGCTGGGCTGCTTAAGCAGCTAGAGGGAAAATAATCAGTGATAACATGATAAAAAAAGCTCATGTACTCAGGTAATCCCATATGGATAAAGTGATAAAATTAAAGACGGTATTTTTTAAGAATTAAGTACCAGGAAAATGGATAACACAGGGATGAAGTAAAATCTGAAAATTATTTAGGGGAGATTAGTGAAGACAGGCAGGGTAGGGTTACACAAGAAGCATGGAATCTGATGATGCTGATGGATTGAATGGGACTGCACCACGTGGAAGCAGAAACGGTGCACAGAACACTACTCAAATACTTAGTGCTGTTCACATTTACAGTCTAACCAGAGCTGCTTTCCCCTGTGGATGTGAACAGCTCTTCCTGCATCTAAAAGATACACCACTGCAGCCCCCAAGCTAAGGGGAAAAGTGACTTCCCATCTACAACCAAACAGTTCACCCAGCAGATGACAAATACTGACATATGATGCAGAGGATACCTGGAAGATCCTCACCTGAGGCTGGGGCAGCAACAACCTCAGAGCCTGTTAGAGCCACAAGGGTCCCACCACACCAATAGGATGAGCTTTCACAGAAAAGCACCCAGAAGTAAAGTCAGGCCAGCAACCACCCCCCCAAAATCCCTACCCAAAGCTACCTGCTCAGAAGCACATCTAAAATTTGTATGTAAAACCAGAACTGAAACAGATTTGCACACTCAGTAGAAAAATGATCACTTTTAAGAATATCAGTGTATACAGAAATAGTCTGAGACATGAACAAGCACCTGAAAACCCAAAAAGGTTTTGAAAAACATTTTCCCACATAAAGCTGGGTAATTCAAAGAAAACATCTATCTGCACAAGCATTAACCATGTACAAACACAGAAACATTTCAGTCAGGTTAACACTATTTTAATGTACCAATAAACCAAGCAGAAGAAAATCTTTTACCAGCCTTAAACACAGCAGTGAGTGAAGAAAACACCTCACAGGCCTCATCCGTGACCTCGGCTATTTATTCTTGGACCAGTTGTCTTCACAAATAAACATACCTCACATTCCAAGCCCAGCTGTAAGGAACTTTATTAATTAACTTAATAACTTGCTGAGGGTTGAACAGTTCAGATTTCCTGGCACCAACCAAGCCATCTCTCCATGTGACAACGCACACGTCAGCAAAGCATCCGACAGCTCTAATTGTTTTTCTGTCTGTCAACATCCACAGTATTATCTCAATTTAGCAAGCCAGCAAATGCATTTTTTCCCCCAGTCAGCACACAATGTACAGTGCTTGTGCTCAGTGCAGATCAGGTTTGGTCATTTGTTTTCCTACAGTCCATCTTTAAAAAAAGCAAAGACTAAAGAGAAGCATCATATAATAAGGAAATATTTGCTGACACTTCCAAGTTTGAAGAAGGCATTCACCAAAGCTGCAAATGATCTGAACAAAGTGCCTTTGAGTCAGTTCAAGCTCAGGGGAAACATCCCCATTCATTTCTTACAGGACAAATAGTTTTAACAGGCTAAATAAGATAAAGAATTTGTGGTATGTGCATCCCTCAGACCAACAGGCAGGGCTGAATTAAAGGAGTGTTTTAATAAAAGGGCTGCAGGTGGAGTCCCCATCCCTGGAGTTGTTCAAGGAACAATTGGACATGGTACTTAGTGCTCTGGTTTAGTTGACAAGGTGAGGATCAACCACAGGTTGGACCAAATGATCTCAGAAGTCTTTTCCTCCATGAATCCTGGGATTCCATGTGCCCCACAAGTGCTTACAGGATTCCTTTGGGACCTGCCACTAAGAATATACATCAGAAATGTTTGATCTCTGTGCTGAAATCATTGTGTCTCATAAGAGTTTCTAAGCAAAGCTCATCTGTAGTAAGTAAAAAAAATAGATCTAGGACTTGTTTTGTTTCTAGGATTGTGCAGAAATTCACAGAGAGGTCTGAAAACCAGAATTTTTTATGGCCATGTGCTTATCTCTGCTACCCAAATAGAACTCTGCAGCACCTTTTTATTAACCTTTGGTTTTCCTTCATAGGTATTTGGTTCTTTATTTGCTGACAGTTAACTTTCATACCAGTAAAAGCTGATTTGCCTCCCCCACTTAGGGTCATCTGAGAGCCCCAAATATATTTTTCAACCTGAAATCTGTGCCCAGAATGCATACTGTGCTTTTATGTTAGAGGAGGCAAAATAAGCCTTACTTCTATTATCATGCAAATCTCTTTCTGAAGACAATGGAGGGGTTGGGGGGTGGGGGGAGAATCATCTCACTTCAGGTTTCTCAATCCCATAAATTCAAAACCAGTTCACCTTATGCATAACTTATTTCAGCAATGACTGGGAATAGGAATGCAAAACTAATTTACTGAGAGGCACACAAGCCAAAGCACGCCTGTGATCACAGCTTTTCCTCAGTTTGTCAGCCATCAGTTCCACAGCCACACATAGTTCTGCTTGGAACCAAGCACTGGAAATCTGGCATTTCACTTCTTTCCCCCACTTCTCCATGACCTTGCCTGAAACCTCCTCAATTCCCTTCTTTACCATGAGTTAAGCATTTTCCCAAAATTCCTCTTTTATCCTAACTGGCTGATGATCTGATCTTACTTTTTCAGATATTTGTTCAGTTTTTAAACAAAAAAAAATCCAGCATATATATATATATAGATATATATATGTACATATATACACATACAAATATATATATAGCATATATTATGCTTATATTATGCTATATTTATCTACCTCTCCACAACATGTTTACAAAATATAGAAAAGGCTGAAGCTTCACAAAAGACAAGCTGATCAGACTAAGTGCAAAGGATTTTTCTAGCATTTAATAACAAACAATACTAAGTAAGCAGACACTAGCAAGACAGGTTGCCAGAAGCACTAAGTCACAAGGAAACCTGAGAGGTAAAAACTAAGATGGCAATTTCACCTTATTTCTACTTTTTAGAAGGTTCAGACTACCTGAAAGCATCATGCACCTCAAATAAAGGCTAAAATTCTGCTGCAGCAGAATTTTGACCAACCAGTTCAGTGACTGTCTGTAGCCCCAGCAAGTCACCAACATGTTGTTTAGCACATTTGAAAGTCAGGGTGCTTTCATCTGTAATTAGCAATAACCAAACATCATTTGGAGTTTGGTATTTACACTTTATTTTCCATTCCCTGTCCACTATGGCCATGTTGTGCTCCTTGTTTT